TACCTGACAAACGTATGCTTATCAGGTAATCGACTAGTTGCTTACATCCCTAATGTGCAACACCAATAGAAATACATGCTGCTGGCTATGGGCACTCTGCTAATCAGTTGGGAAGTGTTTGACTCTCTCCTGAATGGCTGCCCAAGCAGTCAGTTTACAACAGTGATCTCCAACCTTTTAAGCAAAAGATCACTTTTTGAATGTAAGCTCAATCCAAGATCTACCCCAAACCCAAATACCCTTGCCCTGCCTTGTTTATGCCCCTTATCTGAGGCCCCGCCCCAGCTCACTCCATTCTCCCTCCCTTTCACCAGGCTGGGGCAAAGGGTTGGGGTGCAGGCTCTGGTCTTGGATTAAGGGATTTGCAGTGTGAGAGGGGTTCTGAGATGATCTTGGGATAGGCAGGTGCAGGAGGGGGTTTTAGGTGCAAGATCTGGGAGGGTGTTTGTATGCAGGGGTGCTCAGGGCTAGGGTGGAGGATTCGAGTGCAGGAGGGGGTTCGTTACTGGGGTAGGAGTGCAGGATATGGGTTCCGGCAGGGTATCGCTCATCTCTGGTGGCTCCTGGGTGGTGCTGCAGTGGCGCTAAAGCAGGCTCAGCCCTACCCTGGCCCTGCACCACTCCCAAAAGCAGCCAGCAAACTCCATCCCAAGTCCTGTTGTGTCCCTTCTCTGCTCTGTGGAGAGAGGATGCAGAGTGGAAGGGGGACACCTTGACATCATCACCCTTCTTCTTCCTACCCGAACTCTCCCTGAGGATGTGGGTAGATAGCTCCAAGGCAAATGTTAGGAGATGCACATCAGTGGAGAAAAGGGCAGCTGAAGTGCTGGCACTTGATAGCCTCTTGGCCAAACCAGTTAGGATCACCTGTCAGAGGCTCCAAGATGTACTGGCTTACAGGGTAGTGAAACTGACATGTGTTCCTAACATCCTGAAAACTCTCGTTAATATACAGTAAAATCTGTGTTAACCAGAACGCCGTACTCCCCGAGAGTGCCGGATATCTAAAAATTCCAGTTATCTGAGGGTCCCATCAACCTAGAAAAAACCAATGGTCAATAATAGTAAAACTCAAGTTTTTAATATTTGTAGTTTTGTAGTGTGAGGCAGTTGGTCTCACGTTTCTATTTTGAGTTAAAGATGGTTAGTACTTCTTAAATAAAAAATCAAGCCAGTCATGGTAAACTAAGCCAGGCCTGTGTGCCTGAAAATGTGACAATATTGTGGCTGGGGGCAATACCGGTTAACAAAGTTTTCTGGTTAACAGAGTGCCAGATAACAAAGGTTTCACTGTAGTGTGTTTATTGAGCCAAAATTACTCCATACTTTATTTAAATAACGTGGGCATAGAAAGTTAAAAGTGGCTCCTTAGATTTGTTTAAAAGCTTCTATTTCCTGGCAGTTGCTGGACATAAGGAATCCATTGCATTTCTATATCTTCTTAAAAAAAAAAAAAAACGTGCATGAAAATTTTACTTTGTCTAACCTCACCTTCTGACTTCATAATCCTTTTTATAGTTTGTAGCTATAGCATTAAATGGACTGTAAAAACTTTAGAGAAGGAACTGTCTTTGTAGTCATACAATGATTAGCATTGTAGAACTAGGTTTCTAGGTACAGTAAACTTCCGATAATCCAGCATCTTTAGGACCCAGAGGTTTCTGGATTATCAGATATGCCAGACTATCGGAAGGGGGGGCTATGAGGGGTCTGGTAGAGGATGGGGGGATGGCACTGTGGGACCAACCCGGCAGCACCCCAGCTGCTCTGCCCTGGGCTTCCCCGAGTCAGCTGCTGGTTAGTTTCAGCAGCGGCTGACTTGGGAACACCTGGGACAGAGCAGCTGGGGTGCTGCCGGGTTGGTCCCCGCAGCGCCGAGGTGCGGCGCTCACCCCAGCTGCTCTGCCTCAGGCGTCCCCAAGTCAGCCACTGCTGAAACCAGCGGCTGATTCGGGGAAGCCCGAGGCAGAGCAGCTCCAATTTTCTGGCTGCCTAGAGCACTTCCGGGTTCCAGGTGGTGCTGGACTAGCAGGAGTGCCAGACCACTGGATGCTGGACAACTGGAGTTTTACTGTACTTCTAAAATACAAATAGACATCAGTTTAACAATAGACATCAGTTTAAAAATAAACACTTTAGATGAGGAATTGGCAGCTAGAATAAACACAAAAGTAACATGTTTTCCATAAAACATTCCCTGCTCCACTGAATACAGTCCAATTACACTATTTCCATGTTTTGTAGGCATCCTTCCCTGATGGTGAATGACTTCAGTCCCTGAGGGCAGCTTCTGTCTTGCTCTTGTCTTTCTATATGTAGGCTTTTGATGGAGGCAGCTAATCTGGCTCCTGGGGTTTCCAGCTGATTTTATAGAATTATGTTCTTTGCAAGGAAGAGTTTGGACACCTGTAAAGCAGCCTGCAATAGGGAGAGGCAGCACCATGTTACCACCCAGCTTTCCACAGAGCCCTAGCAAGTCTTTCATGGTAACCAGTGATTCATGGACAATGGTTCAAGAATCATTGTCTTGACATACTTATGACCTGATTTAGGGTTCGTGTGGAAATGTTAAGGCTTTATTGCATAGAAAATCAATTGATTAAACCAAACTGAGATCTTTAAACCTGAATTTCTTTACCTGGCAGGAATTAGAAAATAAGCGCATATAAAAAGGCAGCGTTGGTAATACTTCCGAGGAGTAGCCGAGTTAGTCTGTAACAGGAAAAACTTAAACAACACATAGTCTAGTTAGTACAGTAAAACTCCATTAGTCCAGCATCCAATTCTCCGGCACTCCTGATGGTCCAGAAGTGCTCGAGGCAGCCGGACAATTGGAGCTGCTCTGCGCCCGGCTGGGCTCCAGGCTGAACCCAAATGCCTACTCTGCTATTTTTAGCTTCACAGCCAAGCCCTGTGAGCTCAAGTCAGCTGACCTGGACCAGTTACATCCATGTCCAACACTTGGTGCTGCAAGGTTTGTAATCACAATGTAAACATGATTTCGGATATTTGTAAGATTCCCTCCTATCTCAAAAATAAACGGAATATTACCTTAACCCGGGCTTCCCGGAGTCAGCTGCTGCTCAGTTTCAGCAGTGGCTGACTCGGGAACGCCTGGGACAGAGCAGTTGAGGTGTTGCTGGGTTGGTCCCACAGCACCGAGGAGCGGCGCTACTGGTCCAACCCGGCAGCACCCCAGCTGCTCTGTCACAGGTGTCCCCGATTCAGCCGCTGCTGAAACTGACTAGCAGCAGCTGAATCGGGGATGCCTGGGGCAGTGCTGGATTATCGGAAGGGGGGGCTATGAGGGGACTGGGATGGCATCCCTCCCACCCCAGACCTATAGCCCCCCGTTCTGTTAGTCCAGCATATCTGATAATCCGGCACCCCCTGGGTCCTAAAGGTACCAAATTATCGGAAGTTTACTGTAGCATTTTAAAGACTAACAAAACATGTAGATGGTATTATGAGCTTTCGTGGGCACAACCCACTTCTTCAGATGATCAGGGTGTTAAATAAGGGAGGAGGCAGGGGAGAAGGAAAAAAAATTGAAGGGGAAGAAGAAAAAAAGTCAATGAATAGATTAGCTTCAGAAGGCTAGCTGAGTGAGTGTAACAGGAAAAACAAACTTAAAACACAACAATTAGTCTAGTACAGTGTTTCCAAAATGGTGTTCCATGGAACCCTGGGGTTTCGTGAAGTGAAAATAAGGGTTCCGCAAGAAAATTCCATTACAATAACATTTTATGATTTAAAAAAAAATGATTAATATTATGTTGGTTTTTGTTTTTAAATGTGTAATTAAACTAAATGTTGATCTCATGACCTTGTTTAGCATTTTTCTTCTTATTATCCTTACTTATTTGTGGCCTACTCTTTCAGCTCTATATATTAGACTTATTAGGGGTTTTGCAAAATTCTGTTGAGTTTAAAAGGGTTCCATGTCCAAATAAAATTGGGAAACACTGGTCTAGTAGCATCTCAAAGACTAAATAGTTAAGAGGCTGATAAGAATCATTAGTTTGCACTAGGAAAGGAAGATGACCAACACCAGATTCTACACAGAAATAAAGAACCATTAGCACTTTCGTTGGTTGGTTGTTAATGTGCAAACCATCCGATATCACGGATTCAAACCATTAGCCTAAGAATTAAACTTGTGAATGAAGTTAAGCTCCAATCCTTCTCTGTGTATTTGGCTTGTGGAATTATTTTGAAACAAAACAGCGACTTGGAGATCCATTAATGAGTGTCCAGGAAGATTAAAGTGTTCAACAGGTTTTCCGAGTTGTCTTTTCGGATATCTGACTTGTGTCCATTAATTCTTTCCTGTAGATGTAGACACTGTCCCGTTTGACCGATATACATTTCAGTGGGGCAGTGCTGGCATTTGATGGCATAGATCGCATTAGTGGATGTGCAGTTAAATGAACCTCTGATTTGGTGGCTGATGTGGTTGGGTCCAGTGATGAAATCGATGTGTGGGCTTGTTGATGTGTGGGCAGAGTTGGCACCAGGGTTGATTGCAGGGGTGGGTTCCTGGATGCTTATGATGTAGCTGTGTTCTGTGGTTACTGGAAAGACTGTGTTTCAGGTTAGGGGGTTGTCTAAGCAAGAATTGGCCTTTCCTCCAGGGCCTCTGAGAGTGGAGGGTCATTTTCCAGGATAAGTTGTAGACTTTTGTGGGCTGTAGGTGACACGCGTTTTGTTTCAGACCAATTCTACAAGCCAAATACACAGAGAAGGATTGGAGCTTAACTTCATTCACAAGTTTAATTCTTAGGCTAATGGTTTGAATCCGTGATATCCGATGGTTCGCACATTAACAACCAACCAAACAATGAAGGTGCTAATGGTTCTTTATTTCTGTGTAGAATCTGGTGTTGGTCATCTTCCTTTCCTAGTGCAAACTAATGGTTCTTATCAGATTCTTTTAACTATTTAGTCTTTGAGATGCTACTAGACTAATTGTTTTTTTAAGTTTGTTTTTCCTGTAAAAGACTCAATTGGCTATCCCTCTGAAGCTTATCTACTCAAGTCTTTTTTCTTGCTTCCCTTTTCCCTTATTTATTCTTGTATCTGGACTTCCAACACTCTGGTCATCTGAAGAAGTGGGTTGTGCCCATGAAAGCTCATGGTACCACCTACTTGTTTTGTCAGTCTCAAGTGCTACTCGACTACTAGTAATAGTGTTTGTTGACTGAAAATACCTCTTAAAAGGTGGGTTTGAAGCCTCATTTAGGAGGAAGTTTTAGAATGGAACTTGCTAATCTCTTTTCATGTTGAAAGTAGTTGGCGTATAGAGATATTTACACAAGGCACCTGAACAGATGTCCTTATGTCTGCCTAGTGTGAATTAAGTAGGCCTAATGGACAAAGCGTATGACTTTGCTTTCAAGGATACCTTCTGAGTTGCTGGCCACAACAGTCTCTTTCTCACTTAGTCTAAACATCCTTCTTTTGTTTGTAGATATGGCTCGTGGACAGCAGAAGATTCAATCGCAGCAGAAAAATGCCAAAAAGCAAGCTGGACAGAAAAAGAAACAAGGACATGATCAGAAGGCTGCAGCCAAGGCTGCCTTAATATATACCTGCACTGTCTGTAGGGTAAGGAGAAGGAGAAAAGACAGTATTATTTATGGGCAACTCTTTCAGCCTAGAGTAGGACTTTTATAGGACGAAGTTGTGGAAACCACAAAGTAAATGTATCTGTGGTAATAGTGGGTTAATTGGCTAATTGCTGGTAGGTATATTTCTAGTTAGGCTGTAGGTATGACCCTAGCTACATAGATAACTTAGCAAAGATGGCTTCCCATGAGTGCATGTGAAAAATCAGGACTTTTCTTAGTTCCTGACTGCTTAATTGTAAGATTTCATGTTTGCAGTTAGTATGCAATAAAAGGCTTGCCTAGAGGTCTGAGATCACTTTCTGTTGAGTATTTTATTTTGTCTTTAAATGGAAAGATGTTTGCCTGCCTTGCCATCATTGGTAGCTGATTCTGTTGAATGAGGCTAAGAGCTATAGCCAGGTTTTAATAAATAGTTATATTTTCTGCCAAAGTAATTGTCTTGACATGAGAACAGAAATTTAAGCACTACTCAGATTCTGACTTTCTTCCTGACTGATTCTCCTGAATCCTGCCTCTCCTCTTAGAGTGCATTCATTTAAAGGGCCAGTCCTAGATCAGACCTGTCACTTATATTGGGCTTTAATGGAAAGCTTCCCAATGGAGGACTGTACAGTCCAATATATAATCCCATTCTTTTCTGAAAAATAAGCCTGCTTTCCTACTAATGCAATCAGAAGCTAGTCTGTGCATTTCTAAAAACAAAGGGTTAAGATTGCGTGTGACATTTAGTGAGTCACCAGAGACTACAACTAACTCTTTAGGCTCCAATATAACTGAGGCTGTAAAAAAATGAATTGTCTTCGTGTTTCTGTAAAGGATGGATATTTATCTTTTGGCTGAGTTTTTGAAGGGAGTAGGCTTCCCTCTTAATTTGTAAAATCATAGATTGAATAAACTTGACTTTTGCAAGGAAGCTTCTAATATGTGAGCACATATCTTTCAGTGTGTTCTTGGCAGGTGGCACAGTATATGATAACGACTGGTGGAAAACAAGTTAAAAATCAAGAGGACTGTAGTTAATATTGAGCCAGAAATGCTCTAAAACTTGTATAGTAACACTAGAGCATGTTGATGACTTGTGTGTTGAAAGTACTTTGGCACTAAGATTGGTGATACACACATTGCGTTCATCAGAGAAACAAATCAAGCCTTGTGTTCATCTTGGAAGAAAATTAAAGTTTGAAATTGGAGTACAATTCAATGTAAAGGTTTTACCTAATACTTCTGCTGTTCATAGATTTTTTTTTTTCCTCTTTAAATCAGACACAAATGCCGGACCCCAAGACCTTCAAACAGCACTTTGAGAGCAAACATCCTAAGACCCCCCTGCCTCCAGAATTGGCTGATGTTCAGGCATAAAGTTGTTTACAGGTCATTACATATTCTTTTTTAAAACTGAATCTGAGTTGTATTGTTAATCTTAATATTGTTTGTTCTAATATTAATTAGTCTTGTTCATTGGCTTATGTGAGAATTACTTTATTTTCTTCAAAGTAAAAGTTTGCTTGAAACTAAAAATGCATCCTCAGATTGCTAAGCATGAGAAGCAATGTAATCAGTATGACTACTGCAGCAGAAAGAGGCCTGGCCCTTGCTTCAACAATTGATACTAACTTAATTAAAATACAGCTTTGGATGAGAGGTTTTCCTATGGAGTTGTTACTAGAGATGTAAAAAATCGGTTAAAAAGATAACCATGTAACCACTACAAATCTTAGCGTTTACATGTGCTGTGAGCACAGCAACATAAAGCTTAGATAGGCAGAACCCACAGTGAAGCTGCCTCCCTGGGAGCAGGGCCAGCAGGGGCTTCCGGCTCCATTGCTGCCTCCCTGGGAGCTGGGCTGGCAGGGGCTTCTGGCTCCTCTCCTGGGGACAAAGCTTCCCTGTTGCATCAATGCCACCTCCCTGGGAGCCAGGCTGGCAGAGGCTATTGGCCCTGCTCCTGGGGAGGCTTCACTGCCGGCTCTGCAGCTAGCTCCTGGGAGCAAGGAGGCTGCCCCTGCTCCCTTGGAGCCTGCTTCTGTGTTGAGTTTACTGATAACATTAACTGATAAGATGATGCTTAGTTAACCAGTTAATTGGTTCCATTCTAACATCCCTGTTTGATACAAACTAATGAATGTGAAGTATTAAGGTATTTAGAAACAAATTACTATAAATACCTTTTTGAAAGAGTGCTTAATTTGCTTGTTGCTATACAAGATCTAATAAAGTTAGAGCTGTTTAGTACATGACCAAATATTTAAGCTTTGTTACACAACATAAAATACATACTGTATGGCATGGGTAGAAAGAGGGTATATAAAATCTCATTTTTGGAGAAGATTTGCAAGGTGGCTAGACCAATGCCAATAATATAATAATAAAGCCTTTGGTTTATAACTAGTTCATTATCATGATTTTTCTCTGATTTGGAAGCTGAGTAGTGGTGTTCTGCAGTTCACTTTAACTGAATTATTCTTTTTTTTGTAGGTGAATTCATGGCACCTATTAACTTGTCTACAGTCAAGCCCTACATAACAAATCTGCACCTGCTTTTCTAACAAACTGTTGATCAGCAAAACTGAAGGGGTTACAGAAACATTCATATTTTTATGCTGTTCCCTCTTGAGCTTCATGCAAAGACGATTCTGTGTAAATGTACAGTTGTGCCCTATTTGGATAACCTGAAAATCAGTCCATACTTGTTATAAACATTTTTTACGATTGTAATTATACTGATGTTCATATTGTGTAAAATAACTCATTTAATAAAGTAGTACTTTGATTTTTACAATATCACAGGTTAAATGCTTGTAGAAGTTCTGTTTTAACTTTCCATATTATCTGTCTTATAAAACCCTGATGAGGCCAAAGTGGAATTTTTGTCCATCCTGCCAGAAACTTGTGCGGTTTCATTCCACCAAAAGTAATGTGCATTATGATAAGCTGAGCTAAAACTAACCTAAGAAGGAAACTGCTTATGTTTACCTTCCAATACTCTGCCAGCTTGAGCTCGGTTATTAAAATTTAATTTCTAGAGGCGTAGCCAACTTCTTAAAAGCTGCATTAGAATTATGGGACTTCTTTTTTTGTTCTATTTATTTAGGGAGTGTCAATACTACAAGCCATTTAGAACAGTTCTCCTTTGCTGCAAGGGAACTTGTTCCTTCTATTCAAGCACTGGAGCAACTCTTCTTAGACAAGTGAACCTTAATGTTTGGTAGGTGGCTGGCAAAGCTAAGACAGAATACAATTTAATGTAATATTTCTAGACATGCTTATCTGAATAATATTCATAATATTCACAAATGTTCTATCCAGTTAAAGTAACTGCTCTTCATTTATAATATTCAGTCTGTAAGTGCACATGAGCAATCAGGCACAATTCTACTCTTCTCCCCCCCCCCCCCCCCCCCCCCTGGTTATTTTAGTAGCAACTTTTTTCAAGAAGTGTGCAAAGTAATCAAACTCCATTGATTCACTTATTTGACAGTAAACTTAAAATAAACTTGTTAGAAAGCACTCAAAAGCCGAATGACTAACTGGAAGTGATGTAGCTAGTTAAACTTAAATCAGTCCTGACTTACCAACATTTCCAGGGAAAATTTTAGGCTTTACCTAAAACTCCTAAATGAGAGCAATTAAGGACAGATTTAACTGTCAAAATATCATGGGCTGAATTCTAATCTTAGATACAGAGTGCAAGTGAGGGGAAATATCTAAAACTGATGTATTTGAATTGGGCTGAAGCGTCTGCAGTATAGTAGCCATCCTAAATACGTTTGAGGTTGTTCTGCCAAAGAACAGATCTTAAATTCATTAGACAGAGAGGGGCAATATAATGAATTTCTGAGAAATTGGGTGATACAATAGCTAACCTCATTTCTTCTAGACCAAACCAAGTAACCTTTATACACGTTGAACACATTCTTTGATTTAATGAAATTCACTTGAAATAGTGGTGATTTTGGTATACCTAGTCAAATATAGCCTCTTTTAATGTCCACATTTCCTCTTAATGAATTACTTGTCAGGCTAGCCTCCCTCGCTCTTTACTGTGACATTAAGTTTGTATCCCTGTAAAAGTTCACTTCGGCCTAAAACTTCATTGTAATATGCCCACTTTGACATCTGTATACCACTGGCTTTTTATAGAAATGCTGTTCACTTGCTGAAAATAATCCAGTGCTGCACTAGTATGCCTGACATTAGAATGTAGCTCTTAATTTTTTGTTAAAGTTAATAACTGCAGCCTGACAGCTTGACTCCCACAAGACAAGAAATCTGCCTTTCAACTTGGTGCTGGTACCTAAATGTTTTCATAATAGAGTTTGTTCAAAAATAAGATGCATATACACTGAGGAAAATGTTCCTTGCATTGATACTTGGTAGTCTGGTCATCTTCATGATAAGGTTCTGGGATGCATCCTTAAAAAACCCCCAACACTGACATGTTCTGTTGCTTAATTTACAGATTATGTAGCAAATGTAATTAATGAGCAAATAAGGTGGCTGGAAAGCATCATCATACTGGTAGGACAAATTAACCTACTTTATAGGAATTTTGTTGCAGTTTGCAAACTGACAATCTAAAACTGCATAACCATTGGTTGTTTTTGGTAAAGGCCAGGATGATCGTTAGTTTTCTGTACGAATATACTCCCTATTTACAGCTGTTGCAATGTGAAATATTGTAACATTTTCTAATAAATTAAACCCAAAAGTAGAGGTGGAAAGTGCAGGATTAGATGGGGGAATTGTCCTCCATTAATATTGTCTGCTAAACCTAATGTATGGATTTAAAGAAGTGTGTTTGGGAGGGAGTGTTAAGAAATAGGGGAGTTTCTCACTTCTCCTGAACTTGAGGATGGCATCCTGTTAATGCTGGCTAAAGAGACACAATTGTGCATTGTACTGTGTCTGATTAAAGAGCAAGTTAAAAAAAATCTAAAAGTGTAAAATGTGATATTTCATACCTATTGAAAAGCAAGTGTTCTTGCATTTTTGTAAAACACATTTAATGCTGTCCAGACAGTTCTAAATCTTGAAGCTATTCCACTACAATAAGTAGCTGTGGCAGGACTAACTTCCCACTTTTTGATTCTGGAAGTCTGACTTGCTTCTATGCAGGAACTGCTATCTTTCTCCCCTTAAGAGAGCTACCTATGGAAGGTTATTGAAGACTTTGCAATCAAAAAAAAAAAAAGTCAAGGACAGTTAATATGTAACCCTTAATAAAGCAGTATTTGTGTTTTGTGCGATATTCTGGCAATCTCTTTAGAGACTTCTCCACCTTTTAATTCTCCTGTGAAGCAGCTTGCTCTTCACTGCACTAAAAATTGACCAAGAGAGTTATATTTGCAAGTTACACAACAATGAAGATCTGGATTCCTCCAAATTTCACTTTTGTTGAAACATGATTTTAGTTATACTGCATAGTAAGAGCCAAGTTCTAATGCAGATCTGAAAATAGAGCAGAGTGAAGATTGACAAGCTTAATGTTTAATAAAGTCAAAGCATAGTAAAAGGTTGAATACTGGCATCCCTTAATTCCAAAAGTTCTCACGGGCAAGAAGATTACTTTAAGAATACAGAATAAAGGGTCAGCTTTGTCTCGACTCATAGAGCCTGATGGCTAATCTATCCATTTAGAACCTTTAATGTATTCTTGCAATGGCTGTACATTCAGCCAGCTGTAGTATGTTTGATTCTGGATTTGTATTAATGATACTGTCTATGCAGTAGCTGGAGTTTTGCTACCAACAACTGTCTTATAATGATCTGGATATCTGTTTCTGCATTAATAGAGGCCTGTGGGGTTTTTTAAACAGTGCCAAAAATCATGTTTTAAAACTCTTCAGTGGGGTTCGATGCCATGTATAAGGCTTTTCAAAAGTAATTAATGATTTTTGAATGCCTCAGTTTTCTGGGATAAAGCCTGTGACAGACATATGGGGTCTGATTACCTAGCTTTAAATGAAAGGGTTTTTTTTCCCAGAGGATATTTCAAAATCTCTAGACCTTTCAAAATCACTGAGCCTAAATTTGTTTAGTGTTAACATGGTTGAAGTGTGCTTAGCGGTCATTGATGAATGTGAATTATGATAAGGAATTTTCTTATATAGAAGATGGCCTCACTATATTGACTTCTAAACTGGCTAAATGTTAGTTATGTAGTATTTCTTAATTTGGTCCTCCAGTCTGAATGGACAGACAAACTCTGCTTAAATGATCAATTGTTTCTAACATAGCTTTGCCCTGTGCAAAGCATAATAGCCAATGTTCGATACAGGTTTAGCTGGAAGTGAGTTCTAAAGGTGAGTCTTCGTGCCAGCAGAGACAGCTATAGTATCAACACACTGTGTTTGAGGTGGTGGTATGTCTAATAAATCAAAAATGACCTGCCTCTTTCTCCTTGAACATTTTTTCCACTGTTAAAGGTATTAAAGCCATAAACATTTTAGCATGATAAAAATCTATGGCAAATAAAAGTCAAAGCTGCACATTTTCCCACAAAGGTTCAAGCTGTGTTAAGCATTTATATGCAGGGCATGGCTAAAATTCCAACATACAGGGGAGAGTGACATATGAGAGTACTGAGGAGCAAGAGAATGCATCATAGACAAGATTATCCTTACTGATCTGTTGTGTGTTCAATGATTTAGTTATGTACTCTCCAACTCTGTATAGCACTAATATGTTCAGAAGCTGAATTAAATGTGTTCTGCTTTCCCTCTCAGCATATATCATTCTGACCATATCATTTCCTTAATCCCTCCTCCGGCTTTCAAGGCCCTGCATAACCTTAACCCTTTCTACTTAATTCATCCTTTCTTTTTACTTGACATTGGCATCACTAGGATAGAAAGAACCAGCCTCAACATACCACTTGTGTGTGTCTCCCACAGTCATCTGTATGCCTTCTTCTGTGGCACTATATCTTTTCTACATTGGTCTATAAGGCCATACTGTCTTATAAGTGGTGGGTAACATAAGTAGGGGAAGGCTGTGCCTCCTAAGCAGCCAGGTGGGGCCCTGCCCATGCTCCATCCCCCTCAGACCCATGTCTGCCTACTTCAGTTCCCTTCCCTCTCTTCTGGGGCTGATGTGCAAAAGGCCTGGGGCTGTGGGGATCCTGAGGCTGGGGGTGCTCTGGCCACCTGCCTGCCCAGTGCTGCACAGTGGGGCTGGTGGCCATGGGGAGGGCTGGACTCTGGTAGAGGGAGGAGGATGGGAGGAGTGGGGTCTCAGGCAGCAAGAGAGGGCATAAGGGTTAGCCTCACCCAGTGGTGTGTTCACTTGCTGCTCTTAGTGCTTATAACAAATTAGCCAAGTAATAATGGTATGGCTGAATAGAAATTGTGGGGCAATTTATATAATAAATGCAAATGTCAAAACAAGGACAATCATCACCTTTTCCCTTTCATTGTATGTTGTGTTTCTCATCACTACCCTTTTCTGCAATTGGTCACAAACTAAACCTTCATAGGGGTTTTGTACAATGCAATGCCTGGTATGCGGGGAGAACTACTGGAATATAAATTAATGTTAAATATACACAACTTACTCTCTGGTTGAAGAGAGCAAGGTTTTCTTTTTACAAATTTTGTTTTATTCCTGATGTTTCTTAAAATACCAGTTATGTCAATGGTTTCCGTTCTTACAGAAAGACTAACAGATATATTTGGGCATAAGCATATGCCCAAATACATCTGTTAGTCTAGAAGGTGCCGCAGGACTTCTCATTGTTTTTGTAGATACAGTCTAACACAGCTACCCCTCTGAGAGCTCATCTAGACTACAGGGAACGGTTGAAAAGATATGCAAATTCCCACGGAATTTGTATATCTTCTGATTGCATTTTCAAAAGCAGAGCTTTCGAAAGTGAAAGTAGTTAAGATGCGGCTTTTTCGGTGAACTCCCTCTTTGTCGAAAAGCCACATAAGCCTCCTCTTTTGAGGAGGAGCGGCTTTTTGACGAAAGGGGGGTTCCTCCAAAAAGCCGTGTCTTAACTACTTTCACTTTCGAAAGCTCTGCTTTTGAAAATGCAATCAGAAGATATACAAATTCCGTGGGAATTTGCATATCTTTTCAACCGTTCCCTGTAGTCTAGATGAGCTCTCAGAGGGGTGTCACTTGATGTTTTTGAATTAAAACTTTGAAAAACAACATGTTTTACTTTCAGGTATTTAAGTATGAAAAATAGGGTATCAGTTTTTCCAACCCCTCTCCCCCCAAAAAGTTAACTATTTGTCTACAGCAAAAAGTTTTAAAATGTTGACTAATATTTTGTTGGCTTGTAGAGTTCAGTATGCAGTTATGATTAATTACTATCTGTACTGTGGTAACACTTTGGAGACAAAGATGCCATTGTGTTCAATGTTGTAACTTGGATCAGATGTCTGGGAATGGGTGTGCAGTGTAAGAACCTGAATAGAATAACTTCCTTATGAATGGAAGTGCATACAGGATGGCAAATCTCCTCAGTAGAGGAGGAGGATTATATATTAAACTAAGAATGGTTTTAATTTGGTGAATTCCTTATTTAGGAGTTATGTTTAGCTTATTTAACTTTTATAGTATTACAAATAGTGCATATGGTTTCTTTTGTAACTGGATTCTGCTGTACTTGTACTGGCCATTGTAAGTTGGCTATGAAGAGGGTTTTTTGAAGAGAACTAAATTTTTTTCCTATGACATGCCTGCATTGAATACCATGATGGTTTTCATGTAAAATACATTTGATACAAAGGTGAGCTATATACTGCTAATGTAAGGCCATGTGAAAAACTGAAATCAGAGCTTTGCAATTTTGTCTTGAAGAAACCCTTTAACTTCAGATAGTGTGTCCTACTGTGGCTAGTGCTGTGTGTTTACATTTCCTACCAAGTCAGAGTTCGATTCTGTACCACTGAAATCAATGAGAGTTTTGTCATTGACTTTAGTAGGCACAAATTAGTCAGACATACTAATACTGTACGTTATTCTCCAAACTTTGTCTTGAGGAGAGAGTAACTTTTTGAACCACACATTAAGCAATTAACATCACCTTAATGTGTTTGTCAAATGCTGAATCAAATAAATAGATATCTTGTACATGCAGAAAGGTAGTAGTTCTAATACCCTTGTAAAATCTCCATCGCACCTCCCCCAGCTACTTTTTCAGGCTTCTACAAGTTAGATGTAATGTTCTCTGTATTACAATTTACAAGCAAGTTCCTTACTCCAAAGACAACAAACTGTCATGTGGATGGTACATAAGAGAGAAATAGTTTACTAATCAGTTCCTAGATTAGTATTTACACAGTGTGAGAGAAACGTTTCTTGGGAAGCTGATCTGAGGATATGCATCTACATAAAAAGATCACAGCTGGCATATTTCACAAGCCATAACTCAAAATGTTAAAATAAAAGCTTAGACCGTTCCTAAATTTGATTAACTTAATATTCTCTCATGGACTCTACATGATTTCAAAGGACCCAAGAATTGTGTGTCCTGAATACTGTACAGATGTGGTCACCTCATCTCAAAAAAGATATATTGGCATTGGAAAAGGTTCAGAAAAGGGCAACAAAAATTATTAGGGGTTTGAAACCAGTCCCATATGAAGAGAGATGAAAAAGACTTGGACTTTTCAGCTTAGAAAAGAGACTAAAGGGGATATGATAAAGGTCTATAAAATCATGACTGGTATGGAAAAAGTGAATAAGGAAAAGTAATTTCTTATTCCCACAATAAAAGAACTAGCTGTCACCAAATTAAATTAATAGGCAGCAGGTTTAAAATAAACAAAAGGCAGTTTTTCTTTGCTCAGCGCACAGGCCACCTTGTGGAACTCCTTGCGAGAGGATTTGGTGAAGGGTAAAACTTTAACAGGGTTCAAAAAAGAGCTAGATAGATTCATGGAGGTTAGGTCCATCAATAGCTATTAGCCAGGATGAGTAGGAATGGTGTCCTTAGCCTCTGTTTCTCTGGAGGGGGATGATGGGAGGGATTACGTGAGGATTACCAGTTGTGATCCCTCCCTCTGGTATTGGTCACTGTTGGCAGATAGGATACTGGGCTAGATGGACCTTTGTTCTGATCCAGTATGGCCATTCTTATGTCCTTCCACAACCCAGTGGGATCCCAGTTGAAACTATGGGCTCCGGAAGAGGGGAGAGCTGGGGAGGGGAGACACTGAAATTGTGAAATAAATGCAAAAAAGTTAATTATTAAAATGATTTGGTTAAAATTTGTATATTGAGTTAGCTTAATGTTTAGTGAATTGAAAGAGAGATACACAGTCACATTTAAACGTGCTAACGGATTATATTTTATTGTTGATGTATTTGTTATGAAATGAAAATAGAACTAGAATGAAGGAATTCCTTTGGACTTTGCTCCTAGTGTGTTGTTTTGTTTGTTTAAAAGTGTCCTGCACCGATCTTCCTTTAACACCTGCTTCCTAGTCAACACTAATAAAAAATACATTTAAAAATCTTGGTCATAGATTTGTGACCAAAGTGATTAGCGATTTTGGACATTCCAGTTATTTAATACCCAACTAGAACTATTTCAGAAGGTGGGCATTCTTTTGAAATTGTAGTTCCTTTAACATGTCTCAAGCTGGTTACCTAGAATTGTTGATCACTTTTGATAATCTTGATTGTGTATGTTCGTCATAAACAAACCTACAGATGTCCCATTTAGCTTCTGTTCTGCTCTCCAATGCTTTGTGTTTGCTTATGTTGTATTATGAAAGAAAATATTTACTTTCTTTTTGTAGGGTGGCTGATGGCGAAACCCTGATTCCTGACAGGAACCTCTATGCACTGATGATGAGTGATCGCTCATTGCCGAGTATGATCATCTTCCATGGAAGTTGTGGACGCTCAGGTGGCTGATAAGGCCGATCCTTGGACCACAAGTTCTGTTAGTGAGGACAGATGTTTCCAGGTTTAGCAGGA